CATAAGCAGATGACAAACCATGAGCCCATAGAAAAATGGGCAAATGATATGAACAAGAATTTCCCTAACAAAGAAATACAAATGTAGGTCACTAAAATATGAAAGACCCTAAGCTTTACTCAAAACGTTAAAAATAGAGAAAACTGGAGATACCATTTTTTCACTAGCTATTGGTTTAGAATAAAGGTTTATAACATCTAATGTTGGTGAGCATGTAAAAAAATAAATACAAAACATATACTCTTCATGGGAGTGTAAATTTGACAAACTTTGGAACAATAATTTGACACTGTCAGAACCCGAAAAGGTACATATTCATTTGCCCAGTAGTTCCAATGTTAAAAATTTCTTTTGAATCTGTAATCACTTATGAACTCCAAGATAGTCATACAAGGATGCTTATCCTAGTATTGTTTGTACTAGTAAAACAAAATTGGAAGCGACATAAATGTCCATTATTTGGTAACTAGTTACATAAATTAAGATGCGATAACACAATGAAAATTTAAGCAATTGAAAAAAAATTAAAACCTGCTGAATCTGTATTGCTTGTATGAACATAACTCCAAGGTATGTGATTTGTGAAAACATGAAGTCCAGTGCAAATAATATGATTACCTTCGAGTTAAAAACAATTCTTGTATTTTTTCCTGTAAAACACCCAGGAAACTGGTATATTTGAGGAATGGGAATGAGGAACGGTTGAGGGTAGAGATTTTACTTTTCATTTCATACCTTTCAGAGTTGTGTGCATGTCTTACATTTGTTAAAACATAAAAATGAGAGAGAACAGGAAAAACAAAACCACCCTGTATTTCTTACAGAACAAAACTAAAATCATTTTGTTATTTTAGGGGGCTTCAGCCTCAGACTCAAAAACCTGCCTTTTAAACTTTATTTCTCATATTTTTTTCCCCTTAATTTCTGGATAAATTGAAATGCTTGCTTGGCACTACACAAATCGAGTCATTTTAGTCTCCTTCCCCTCTCACCGGCAGTGCCAATTCCTCCTAATGAATGACCTCAGTCCTTCTCTGCATGTTAAGATCCACCCATATTTCAATTCCCATCTCCTTTATTTCAGCCTCCACCAATGCTCCAGCTAGAGCTAATCTCTCCTGCCTGTGAATTAGCATAACCCCCAAGTTCAATTCTATTTTGACACTTACCTCTTGGACCTTGCCTTATGTTTACGGTGTGCCTGCTGCCCGCCAGGTGCTGAAGAAAAGGATCTGGGATCGATTTTCTTTGGTCACACCCCACGGTGCCTAACACTGAGCCATGCTCCGAAGTGACCCGTAAGTGTTTGTGGCATGTGAGCGATCTTAGCAGGCCTGACAGGTACAGACCAAGGGAGACTTGACAGTCCATAGAGTCATTGAGTACGAGCAGAAATAAGAACTGGCACACACGTTGTCGGGAGTGTAAATTGGTGCAACATTTTTGGAGGACCAGTGAGTGGCTGGCTGTTCATCTCTCTCGGCATACACAGGACCACAGCGTATTTTGAATGGAGCAGGAAACTCCAGCCGTTGATGCTTAACGCCTTGATATTCTAAATTTGAGGTTGTGTGACTCCATGGGGTCTTGCATGGAATTGGTGGCAGCCCCAGGATGAAGGCAGCCCCAGGATGGAAGAACCGTCTCTGGCCTCCTAGCTTCATTCCCCTCCCGAAGTACCACCCTACCTCTTTATTCCAAAGAGCCTCATTGTTTATGAAACTCTCAGTGAAAAAGGTTAAAGTCCACCCATTCAGGTGTCATCTCGTCATTTGTATAATCTGAGAGTTGCATTCCTGAGCCGCCGACCCCTTTTCAGAACCTGCCTAGTTGAGATGTCACTTCCCTGACAGTGAGACACTTAGGCTCGGAGAGAAAAATCACAGTGTGCTCCCCGCTTTCTCAGGTTTTCCCTAACAATTAACGCTGCACTAACTTGACACCCTCTTTCCTTGTTTGGCTTTGTAAACCCTGGTCCCTTTTTCTATTAATTCCAGACATTAATATTTTCTTTCACACAACTGCCGCCATTCACCCGTGAAACAGTTTGAACATTATGTAGCTGTCAAGATGCCTGGGGATTACCCAGTATGCTTTGCCTGTGAGAAAGTGACACCACCGAGGCCTAGTTTTGAGATGTTTATTTTGAGAGTACGCTGACAAGCATGAAGGCCTGATCCCAGAGTGGCGATTTCATTTAATTAAAGCCCTCTTTTTATTATAGTTTTTCGCCTACTTTTTTTTTTATATATATATCAGAATGATTGTTAAAGTCTGACTTGCCAGAGGTGTTCTCTTGTACTATAAAAGGGGGGGGGCGGATTGCTCACTCACTAGTGAGTATTGCACTGAATGGCTGTGAATGCATTCATTTTTACTATCCTGCTCAGAACTGCAGCTCCGCGTGGTTGTGTGTGCGTGTGTGTGTGTATGTGCGTCCACGTTTAAAATCAAGACTGCTGGGCTTCTGCCCCTGTGTTGCCAAACTTAAAATGTGAGAGTTGAAGACATATATATGCATATTTTTAGTTTAATTTCTTTATTTTAAAGTTAGTAGCCTCACAGTACTGGGAGGCTAACTTACCAAAATTATATACCTTGGTTCATCTATTAAGACTTTTAAATGATGTATGTTATCTTGCTCTATAGTGATGTTACTTTCAGCTAAAATAGTTGGGAAATGTATTGCATCCATTTTCAGTAATTTTTAATACTGCAGCTAAATGGAAACATAAAATCAGGAAAAAAAATTGAAGTAATTAATGATGAGTATTAACAATTTGGTAAATGTTTGTGACAGAGTAGCCTAGTTAATTTTTGATGTGATATTCTTAGACTATATTGGCTTGTCTTTAATATCAGGAATTCATGTCAATACATATGTGGGGGCCTATGCTGGGCACCGTCCAAGGCACCTGGGATATATTAGTGAACAAAACAGACTGTTGGTCTTTGTGCACTTATTCATAGTTCTAAGTTCCACAATTAATTGTAATGTCATAGCTGCCTATATGAGATCTTTTTCTTTCCTTCTGGCATCATCAGCTGACCTTCATTTATCCCCTCATTGATCATTCATTCGTCTGTGCCGTCTTTATTCATCCTTCACTCCGTATTAATGCACAAGTATGTCCCAAGTGTGATCACACTTGCATGCGTGTAAAACACATGCACAACTCATAATTCGTATATTACGTTTGTGAGCTTGTTTTTTCTCA